TAGTGCTAGGGGTTACCAAATGAAAAAAAAAAGAGAGGCATTAGAAAAAAGGTCATTGAAACATTTTTTTTAAATGCACAAATAAGAACAGAAAGGTTAGGAAGAAACACAGGTAAAGCAAAACAGCTTTGAAAATAACCTATTGAACTGATGATATACTTGGAGGGAGAAGTGAGTGAGGTGTGATGCTAGTTCATGACTACATGTACAATCCTCTCTGTTTTGCATTATAATTGGAAATTCTCATCTTCTTTGGTGTTTGTGGAGTTCAAATTAAAAATTGTTTAAAATTTAAAAGTTCATATTATTACTATTTCTCCCAGTCTAGGGGTCATGGACCCCTTTCTTTGGCAGTCTGACCAAATTGAAGGACCACTTCTCAGAATAACGTTTTTAAATGAATGAAATAAATTTAAAAGGATTATAAAGGAAACCAATTATATTGAAGCTGTGAAAATATTTTTCCTCTACAAGTTCATGGACCCCCTGAAGAATATCCCAAGGATTTGTTCATCCCAGGTTAATTCCTGCCCCAGAAGTGCTTCATGGAACCCTGAAATTCTATGGAACATAGTTTGGACATTGCTGCATTCTTCAACTTAAGCTTGAAGAGGCATGGATACCATGAGGAGGTATGGATACCATAATGAGTATAGAGAAGAAGTATTTTGTAATTGGGCATGTGCTATATAGACAAAGACAATTTAGAAATGATGATTTGGTGGAGCCAAGATGGTGGAGTACAGGTGGCAACCCACTGAACTCTCCCAACATTCCCCTCTAAACAACTTTAAAATAACCCCTGAAATCAAATTTTGGAGCTACATAGACAAAAAAAAAAGGGGGGCTGGAGTGAGACATTTTTCCAGCCTAAGACAACATAGGAAGTAAGCAGAAGAGGTCTGTTACACTGGGGTGGAGGCCAGCAAGGAGTGCAGCAGCAGCAGTGGTGGGCCTTGGAGGTAGCTGTGAGCAGCAGCAACAGCTTTGGGAGTTCTTGGTCCAGAGATGGTAAAGGGGTGAGACAACTGGTCAAGAAGAGATTACCTGGGACACTTTGCCAATAGTGGGTACAGCTGGTGCTGATTGGCAACTCTATTCCAGGGCAGAGAAGAATGTTTGTAGTTGGTTACAAGGAAGCAGGAGCCCTATTCACTTTCCAAGGCAGAGAAGAGCACTAGCACTTGTGGCTGCAGGGGACCAGAAGCCCTGGTCACAGTTCCAAGGAAGAGAGGAGCCTAGTGCTTAAAGTTGCAGGAGACTGAGGACAGAGTCACAGTTCCAGGGCCAAGAGGAGTGCTAGTGCTTGCATCTGTAGGGGAGTAGAGAACCTTCCTGGGTAAAGACCAGAGCATAGACCAGAAGAACAGATACCCTGGATGACACCACCCTTCTTTTTCTCATAAAAGAAGCACACAACGATGAGCTTTTGTAGTGGAGGGGGTGACGGGCAATGCTTGAACCCCAATCTCATTGGTATTTGCTCAGAAAGGAAGAATATTTAGTTGTGTATAGAAATCTGTCTTATACAATAGGGAAATAGGAGGGGAAGGGGATCAGTAATATGGGAGAGGGGACAATAAAAGGGAGAGTGGATTAACGGAGGCAGTGATGGGAAGCAAAATGGACTTTTGAGGAGAGACAGAATAAAAAGAGAGAGAGGGATAAACAGAAGAAAATAGAATGGAAGGAAATACACAATTCGTAATTATAACTGTAAATGTGAATGGGATGAGTTCACCCATAAAACAAAAGTGGATAGCAAAACTGATTAGAAACCAGAATCCAGCAATATGTTGTTTACAAGAAACATACTTGAAATAAAAAGATATACACAGAGTTAAAATAAAGGGCTAGAGCAGAATCTATTATGCTTCAGCTGAAGTAAAAAAGTCAAGGGTAGTAATCATGATCTCAGACAAAGCAAAAGCAAAAATAGGCCTAATTAAAAGAGATTATCAGGGAAACTACATTTTGCTAAAAGGTACCAGAGATGATGAAATAATATCAAACACTTTTCCAGCAAGTTTCTCTGATAAAAGCCTCATTTCTCAAATATATATTGAACATAGAACTGAGTCAAATTGATAAAAATAAGAGCCATTCCTCAACTGATAAATGGGCAAAAGATATGAACAGATAGTTTGCAGAAGAAGAAATCAAAGCTATCTCTAGTCATATGAAAAAATGTTCTAAATCACTGTTGATTAAAGAAGGGTAAATTAAAGCAACAAATAATGGAGGGGAGGAGGGAAAATAATTACACTAATAAACTGTTGGTGGAGGTGTGAACTGGTGCAACCATTCTTCAGAATAATTTGGAACTATGTCCAAAAGACTGTAAAACTTTTGACTCAGTTATACTACTACTAGGTCTGTAACCCCAAAGAGATCAAAGAAAACAGAAAAAGACCTTTATGTACAAAAGTATTTATAGCAGCTCTTTTTTTGTGGTGGTAAAGAATTGGACATTGAGGAGATGCTCATCAGTTGGGGAATGGCCAAACAAGTTGTGGTATGTGAATATGATAAAATGCTATTGTGCTATAAGAAATGATAAAGGGGGGGTGTCAGTAAAAACATGGCAAGACGCATATGAACTGATACAAAACAAAGTGAGAACCAGGAGATCACTGTGCACAGTAATAGCAATGTCATAATAATCATCATCTGTCAAAGACTTGGCTACCCTGATCAATACAATGATCCAAGACAATACCAAATGACTCATGAAAAAATGCTATCTGCCTCCACAGAGAGAACTGATGAACTCTGAGTGCAAATTGATATATAATTTTCTCACTTTTTTTTGGCCTTTTTTTGGTGATATGGCTAATATGGAAATGTTTTGCATGATTTCACACACATAATTGCTATCATATTGCTTGCCTTCTTAGTGAGTGTGGGAGGTGGAGGGAGGGAGTAAGAGATTTTGGAACTCAAAATTTAAAAAGAAAGGAATATTAAAAATAAATAATAAATTAGGAAGGGGGGGGGAAAGAAATGCTGATTCTACTGGGAAAGACCTCACCATTGTGCTTTTATGAACAGATACATTTCTGGTAATATTTGAAGGCTACATAAATATTCCAGCCAACAAATACAGAGAAGGCCTAGAAATTAAATGAGAGAAAATGAAATCAAAGATACCCTTGAGGTTTTATGATCAATAGACAAAGAGACTTTAGTTCAAATAATAGATCATTGATGAAGTAACAAAAGTATAGTTTAGGTTCCCTGGAATTGCACAAAAAGCAACAAATACCAAGGTTTTAATAAAGATCATGTGAAAATAAAATATTGCAGGTCAAAATACAAAGGATTAGTGGATGACTATCCATCCCAAACTTTCCCTGTGCCAGCAATGCAGGGAATGTTAGTAATAAACCAGCAGCAAAGTCAAGGAACAATGTTTCTGGACAATGAGTCGAGTTATTTAGGGCACAATATGGGAGGCCCAGTGGATAGAGAACTTGCCTAGTAGTAAGGAAGACCTGGTTTCAAGTCCCACCCCAGATATATGCTGTGTGATACAGGGCAAGCCATTTAACCCCTTAGTCCCTGAGCAACTCTAAACTAAGAAGTCGCTGAGCTGCATTCATAAAGGGAGTTCCAGGATTTCCTAACCAGGATTTCCCTGCAAGCTACTTAAGCAAGAGATGATAAAGCCTGAGCAGAAATAAACAGCTTATTTAGTGTAATAATCAAATCAAACTTTAAAATATGTTAATCTGACTTGTTTCATGATAGATGTAATTGTGGTTGTATTGCTTGGTACTTCAAAATATGAAGGATCCATTATTTCTCCAATGTGGGCACTGTATCACAACCCTTTGATTTCTTAGTAGTAGATAGCCTTTATGAGTTGCTGTGACTGATGACCTAGTTACCAAGCAAACATAGCAGTCATGAATCAATCAATCAATCAATAAGCTTTTATTAGGTATCTACTATAAGCCAGCCATTGTGCTAGGCCCCGAAGATAAAAATACAAAAGTGAGACAGTACTTGAGCCCAAAAAGTTTACATTATGAAGTTATAAATGGTAAGTTTTTTCTTATTTAAAAGATGAATAATTATGTCAGTGTACAGTGTTACTAATGCAGATCACAGCCCTCCCATACCTTAGGAGAAAGATATATTTCATTACCTAGTCTCAACTTTTTGGTGATTAACTGAAATAAGTTGGGCCCCAATTAACAGATACATTGTCTGTCCCTAGGCCTATGTTAGGACCTGCTAGAACTAGTACTCTGCTATCATAAGCTTTGAGACAGTAGGATTAACCCCCAGAACTAGAGTAGGATTTAAGTGAAGGGAATGTTAAGAACTATTTACCGTTCCCTTCACTAATTGCCTGAAGTTAATGTTACTGTGATGCAACTATATCACGTTTTTATAGTTTTTATCTTCTCACTTTGTTAGTTCTCTAATAGCTATAATTATATGTCATCAACATTTTCTCTTGATATTGTGAGAAATGATTATTAATAACCAATAATTTGGGAGGAGATTCAGAACTTTCCTCTTCTAAAGTCCTTTAAAAGTTCAGTTCTTCTTCGGGAGGACATTGCTGATAACATTAACTCTCCTCAATCTTGGTCAGACCCCACCCAACCTCACAAGGAATTTAATCTAAGAAGGAGAAGCCCATTGTGTTCTGCTCAGGTTTGGATGGTACATTCTTTGAATTGATAAGACTAAAAGCTATGGATGATCTGGTATAGAGATACTTTCCCTAGCCAAGAGATATTCAGCAATTCATTTTAATATAGCCTACTTCCCTCATGTTAACCAATTAGATTTGACTGCTGTTTGATGGACCACCTACTGTTTTGAAGGGTATATAAACTGTGAGTCCACCACCATGATGGTGGTCTGAGAGAGATGGCCAAATGACCATCCTTATATTAATAACCTGCTGGCCTTATTAATACAATGAGTAAATTACCCAGGAACTATGTCTCTTAAACTTTTTTAAATGTCACAATCTTTTGTGCAATTTAATACATCATCACATGGATGCGTATACCTATATACACATAGACATACAAACAAGGACAAAGTTTCTAGATATTTCTCCCAATAACTGGTGTTCTCTATCCTCCAACAACCTTCGCCCAGAAGCTACTGATTCTTGTCCTCATGCTCTCCTCTTTTCCTTTCTTGTCCTTCCCTCAAATCTGAGTAGTCCTTTAGCAGAATGTCCAGTGGTTTCTGGCTCCTGATCTTGATATTTTAGATGTAAGAAGCATGTTGACATAGGCCATAAGCCTTTGAAGGGGCTGCCTAGAGAGTAAAAGCACAATCACTAAACTGTGGGATTGAGGGGAAACACTTGACTGGGTGCTGGTACCCCCTCTCCTCCTTAATACTACAAATCTGGTATGTGTTTTTCTTACCTGCCCAATTGTGTGAGAAATAATTTAATAAGCAACAAATCTTTAATACTATAATTAGAGATAGAAAGCTTGAAATGCAAATATCCTGGGAAAAGTAACCAATAAAACTCATTCATGCTAAAGAGTAAATGACTCATATTAGATCTTTTCACATTTTGCCAGTTGGGAGGGAGCAAGAGAGCTTTGTATATCTGAAGCATGAAGGAAGGACCCCCACTAGGAAGGAAAAATTGAGAGTGTTGAGGGCAGTGAGGGCTCCAAAAATAAATTTCCCAGACTACAATGTTGTCCAGAGCCTGGCATGTTTACCTTCACCTGTCAGAGGACAATTAAAAGTTTCATGAAGAGACTTGCATAGGGTGACCCTGTGGATGCAGTTTGATGGGAACATGAGCAGCTGTAGACTTTACTTCAGCATTTGTACCCTATTGATAATAGAAAGTCTGGACAGCTTGACAGGCAACCCCACCCCCACCCCTAACACCTCAATGACAAATGATTCATCCATCTCCAATGGGCATAGGTTTGTTGTTGAGTGAGTGATCCTGTTGCAATCATTTAATCCTAGTCAATTTTACAAACATTTATTAAGTCCATACCATATGTGCAGTGCTGTGCCACACAGCTTATTGATTGACTGATGATCCCACATTTGAAAAAACGGGCCAGATGCCAGCACTCTGCATCAAAAAGAATGTGGAGAGAGTTAATGAGCTGACACTGTAATATGACTGGGGTCATAAATTGGTACCAAGTGAACTTGTAGAGTACAGGATGGTCTGGATGTGGGATTCAACCTGGGTCAGATTGGGAGAGTACTCCCATATTCATTTCCTTTGATATTCTAAAGGCAGGCAGGACAAGCTCCTGAACTTACTAGCACTGGGCCAATTAAAGAGCTCTGATTTTCACTCTGGCCTTTAACTGAGGTAAATGTCTTGCAAAGACACAAGAGAAAAAAAAAGTAGTTATACCTCTACCAGATTTGGGGGAAAGCTGTCAGATGCTTACATAGTCTGGAATTTTTCCTGTTTAGAGATAAAACTTCCAAATTCAAAATAAGAATCTTCAAATGAGTACATTGCTGGGCACCTGCTTATCAGAAAGAGAAGTCATTACTCAGCAGCTGAATCCATGCCAGGAAAAGTTTATTTAATAACAGATACCATTCCCAGGCATTTAATTCAAATGATATTCATCTGCTTGATACAACCCCAGCTCAAGGGTATACCTAATACTAAGGTCTCAGCTTATTTGCCTGAGTCACAATACCGTGAGGGTAACAATGCTGGAAGTCACAGGTCTATAGGGGCAAGGCTAGCCTCAGCTGGATCACAGTGGTGATCATTAAGGACAAACTGACACAAAAAGCAATTGGAGGCAGTAGTTCCTTGGGAGAAGAAAGCTAACTTGAGGCCTGAGAAACCAAACGTGGTACAGGAAGTTTCCCTACTTAACAAAAATAGACAATATCAGTTACTAATCCATAGCAATAAATAGAAAAATCCGAGTATATATATATACTATTTTTTGATGGCTGTGAGTGTTAAACATATGGCTTAAAAAGTGATTTTGAAAAGGTTCTCTTCTAGTGGACAGGCTCACATCTTGATCCATGTGTAGCCTACCCCAAGCTGAGAAATGAAGCCTTCTCTGTGACCTAATACACAAACAAAGCCCAGTGGGAGTCAAAGTGGAAATTCAGGATCAGAAATAGGACAGATTAAAAGAGGTTTCAAAGACAGAAAAAGAAATTGACTCAGAAAAGGAAGATGGTTCATTGATACTGTACAAACAGACCACAAATCCCTTAATCTTAAAACGTTGCACAACCTGGTTGAAGTTTTTAGTGTGTGTGTTTGACAGCATCACAAACTGTAAAGAGATTTCTCATCAGACCCCACTTCCTACATTCTTTTTCAGGGACAACCTCCAGTCATTCTGATCTATGTCTTGCCACTGGACCTAGATGGCTTTTCAGGAGAAAGTGAGGCTGGTGACTTTGCACAGCTCTCCCTCACTTAAATCCAATTCACTTGCAAGTCATGACATCACCTTCCTGATTTCATGATCCTTCTTGAGAATGAAGGACAAGCAACAACCTGTGAGTAGTCAGAGCTGCCCCACTGGGGCAGTTTCAGTTGGGTGACACAGCTCTTCCTTCCTTCCTTCCTTCCTTCCTTCCTTCCTTCCTTCCTTCCTTCCTTCCTTCCTTCCTTCCTTCCTTCCTTCCTTCTTCCTTCCTTCCTTCCTTCCTTCCCCTCCCCTTCCCTTTCCCTTTCTGTTTCCCCTTCCTCTTCCCCTTCCCCATTGCTTTGCTTCCCTTCTCTCCTTCTTCTCCGTCTGTCTACCTTTACCTTTGGGTGCTCTGCCCAAAGGAATGTAAATTTTGATGGCTGAAACCTAGCAAGATATCTTGAGGTTTACAGGTAGATTTCTAGCAGTAAACCCCATTCACTCTGGCTCTCATTGATTGGCCAACAATAGCTCCCAGCTCAAGCCCAATTTGGTGGTCATTATTTGGGCCCTGATGGCTCAGAGTGAATGTAAATAGTAATTGTTTTTCTTTTGGCCAGACATCTGAGGGTCTTCCCCTCCCAAGACTGATTCTTTTTTTCTTAATTAGGTAAAAGAGGGTATGCCATTCCTTGGCTCATTTCTTACCTAACCTTAGTCATCGAATGGGTGTCTCCTCAGACAAACTGAGACGTGGGGAAAACATTAGCTTAAAAAGGCCAACATCTTCTATTGCATCCCACTGGGGCCATCTCTAGTTGTCCTGATTTATATCTTGCCACCAGACCTAGATGACTCCAAAGGAGAAAATGAGGCTGGTGACTTTGCACAGCCTTCCCTCAATTAAATATTCATTTGTGTGTCATGGCACCATCTGATGTCATAGTCTTCAAGAACAATGAACAAACAACAACATCCCTTTTCAATCTCTTGCAACCCACCCTACCTCCTATTCAGAGACCCTTTTATCAAAATGTTCTCTCAGCAAAAGGTCTACTAGTAGTTATGTATAGCATGAACTCAAATCAATACGGACTTCCAGAGCTGTTTAGTTGTAAATTGAGAGGCAGCTCACCAAGTGTATAAAATGCTGGACTTAGAGTCAAGAAGACTTGGGTTTATACCCTGCTTCAAACACTAAGTGATTGACTCTGGGGCAAGTCATTCAACCTTTCTAAGCCTCAATTTCCTCATCTGTAAAATGGGGATAATAATGCCTCTATTAGACTCCTAGCTTCTTGAGAATAGGGATTGTTTTATTCTTTGTATTTATATCCCCAGTCTGGCCCATAGTAGACACTTAATAAATGCTCGTTGGTCGGTTGGCTGGTTGATTGACTGATAGCACCTACTTTGCAGGGTTTTTATAAGGCTCAAATAATATAATATGCATTCATTTAACCAACATTTATTATATATTTTGTAAACCTTAAAATGCTATATGAATCTCAGTTAATATTTATTCACTGTTAAAGGGGTTTCAATTAGTCACCTCCTGGGGCTTCAGTTTCCTTATTTGTAAAACTATGGGATTGGAGCAGATGATCTATCTCCATTAATACCTTCCAGTTCTAACATTCTATGTCACTGAGCTTTCTAGCTAGAGTGCAAACAATGTTGTGAAAACAAGGTCATTGATGGTAAGGAACCTCCACCCCTGAATTTGATTTCCCTATTACTCATGAAACTAGTTTATCATAATAATTTGATATATTATTTCATAGCAATAAAGGGCTTATGTGAAGCTCACAACTATACTGGGAGACAGGTAGTGCTAATATTTATATCACCATTTCATAGCTGAGAAAAGTGAAGTTTAAAATAACTTGCTCAATGTCCCAAAGTTAGCAGATGACAAAACTAAGACTCAAATCCAGGTCTTTTGCCTCTACTTCCAATCTTTTTCCTGGAGCGATCATATGTTGAGGTTTAGGGGTTGCTGGGACCCCAAAATAGTGACACATGGGTCCTTCCCTAATGAATTCAACTCAAACCTTCTTTCAGCCAAAGACAAGGTTTATTAAAGATCTGCCATATTGGCCAGACTCTTAAGGAATCTAAACATTTGTGGCACTCATATTGACAAGCGGAGTAGAGGCAACCAAGATGGATCTTATATACAGAAAGACTGTGAGAGGGATCTAGGAGTGGCCAAATAGTTTGGGGTGACTGGAGGAGGGGTCTGGGAGAAAGGGTAATCTTGATGGAAGTGGTAAGTAGGCTGGGATGACTGGAGGAGGTGTCTAGGGAGGATCTTGATGGGAGTGACTGGGAGGTAGAATGGGGTCTAGAGAAGATCAAGGGTGGGAAATGGCTGGGCCGTGGGAAGGTAATGGATAATAGAGAGCTGGGTTAGGTTAAGGGTAACAGAGAATTGGGAGATTGGGTACAGGCTACAAGGAAAAGCCAGTTGGTAGGATAATAGCCTCAGGCAAACACTAGAGACTTCCTTGACCAAGTGGGAGAGTTCAAGGACAGCCCAGGTTGGGTTTTCTAGGCCCATAGACAAATGGGACCCAAATTCTTTTGGGTGTAAGGGGCAAAGGTCTCGGCTTAGGCCCATACTCTCTCACTTCCTTGCATTTTAATATTACTTGTCTTACAAACTCACTGAAATATTATTGTCTTTCACTTGGGCTATCCAGGAAGGAAATTTTTCTTTGATAAAGAATAACAGAAACTAGATGAGGAAAAGATTTACTGAAAGAAAATTAGGTAATTTCATGCTCTGAACATAATTTGAGATATTTTGGCATTGTTATGCTGAAATTATGATGAGATCACTGAAGGCATGCAGTCAAGAAGTAAAATCCAGGAGAGACTATTAGCAATTTAATTGAACAATTCCATTCCAGGGGGGAGTGTAAAAACTTGAATCACACTCTTAGAAAGGGAGGCAGGTGTTATGGCGAATCCACAGGATTAGGGGTCAAAGAATCTTCATTCCAGCTCCAATTTTGGACAGATCTCTTAGAGTCTCTCTGGGCCTCACTTTCTTTGTGGGAAAAAGGAGGTGGCTAGCCTAGCCATGCCCCAGGGATCCCCCTTCCAGCTCTGGAGCCTCCCCTGGCTTTTTGTTTACTGAAAGGATCCATTCCACACCCACACAGCCTGAGTTGCTCCAGAGAGTGATTGCTCCACCAGAGCCCAGGGGCCAGCCTGAGGAAAGGGTGGAGTGCACTGCACACAGTCATAGGCTTGCTAGTTCTCTGCATCAGTCTTGTCTCTGTCCTACTTCCTGCTTCTTCCTTCCCACCAAATCTTTAATAAAACAACCAGGCAATTAATTCTTCCACGTTGATCCACCTCAATGTGGAGAGGAACAAAAGAAATCCTTTTTTTCAGGGAACGTAGTGTCTGGAGTTCCCCTATGATTGTTAGAGACTTATTTAGTATAAATGCATGGTACAATGAGATTTGGATTTAGGACAGAGGTGTCAAGGCCCACAACACTCCAGATTGGGGCATGAACCAGATTAAAACGTAATTGGGAAATATCTAATCCAATCCAATCAACATTTGTTAATCACCTACTGGGTGCCAGGCACATTTCTGAGCCCTGGGGAAACAATTAATATAAAGAAAGACAGCTTATGCCCTCAAAGAGTTCACAATTTGAAGAGAGAGACAACATACACAACAAGGCAAAAAGGAGTACTCCACAGGACATCTTGTTCCATGAAGTTAAAACCAGGAGGAGCAAGAGATGTAAAGTGGAATGAGCTAAGTCCAGTCTCTGTACAAAGAGAGACATTGGTCAGAGTTTGGTACTCCACCCTCCTATCCTCCAATCAGAGGGAAGAGGAGGCTGAGGAAGGTTGTGTCAATCAGGGCTTGAGTCAGTAGCATGGCGGTGAGTTTAGAGGCAATGAGCTTGTCCTAGGAGTGGCATCTTGTTCCACAGAGTTGAAACCAGGCAGAGCAGCAGATGTAGAGAGGAGTGTTATATTTAATGAAATAAATAAAAGTGGAATAAAATACAGATAACATGTGGTTTTCTAAGTCACTATGTGAACACAGGGATCCTTATGTATGGTTTAGTGACCCCTGTTTCTATCTGAGTTTGATGCCACCAATTTAGAAGATCGAGTGACCTATGGGACCTTAGACAAAGTCTTCTTTCTGGGCCTCAAATTCTTCATATGTAAGGTGAAGGGGGTTGGGCAAGACTATGTGGGCATGGGGTGGGGTGGAAAAGAGGAATGGATTTAGAGTTGGAAGGCCAGAGTCCAAATCTCAGCTCTGCCACTTAACAATCTGTGTGATCTTAGTCAAGTCATCAACTCTCTAGGCCTTATTTCCTTATCTATAAAATGGAGGCATTGGACTGGATGATCTCTGAGGTCATCTGCCTCTGAATCCATTATGATTCTATGATCTCTTCCAACTCTAAATTCTATGATCCAATGTTTATTCTCCACAATCTCTCCCTACCTACCCATCCAAGCCTGTTTCCCACTACTCTTCCTTAAGTAACTTCTACTCTGAACTTATCAGTTGTATGACCCAAATCACAGCCTCCATCTGCTTCAAGTGTTCTCATCTGTAAAATGAGGATGATGATAGCAGCTACATCATAGAGTTGTTGTGAGGATCAAATGAGGTAATATTGGTATGGTGCTTAGCGTATGCCTGGCATATACTAAGTACTTAATACATGCTTATTTCCTTCCTTCCATTCTAGCCAAATTGGCCTATTCATTTCACCCATACCTCATTCATCACTTTTTCTGCTTACTTTTATCAAAGATTGATTAAATTAAGCGCCTTCTATATGGAAGTCACTATATTAGGTGCTGGGGATATAAGGATAAAATAAGATACAGTCTCTGCCTTCAAGTAACTTACAATTTAACATTTCAACATTCAATGGATCTGTGGTCTCATAGCTGTGGTCCAATAGTACAGAGTACATTTCATCCATAGTTTTTCATTGTGTGTAACTTTTTCATGACCTCCCATATACCCTTCACATGGGATCTACCCAATGTATTGAGGTCCTTCTTTTAAATTTCTTGACATTGTATGTGTACTGGTGGAGGACATGTCCAAATCTAAACTCATCATCTTCCCTTTTCCTAACTTCCTTATTTCTATTGGTGACACTGTCATCACTTAGAGAATATTGGAATAAAAAACATAGGCCTTTGTTTCAGGGATAATCTTGAAGCCATTAAAAGCAATTTCCTAAATGCAACCCAGCCCACTCTGCTCTCATTCAGTTCTGGACCCAGTTCATTATCAACCTACCATGTCTGTCCAAGATATGCATGCTGATAGACCAACTCTGTAGGATGTCTATCCAACTACATGTCATAGCCAATAGGCATTCTTCATTGATTTGCTTTTCCTGATTGGATAGTTAGGCTGAACTATCTTAGTTGATTATAGATCTCATTCAGCAGGCTCTGCAGGGTTCCAGGCTATGCAATCAGCATAATGTCATCTATAAGCAGGAACATATAAAGATAGGACCTCACTATATGGAAATTCTCTTCTACCATTCAGATCCTTCACTCTATCTCCTCCAAGACAATGCTGACTGCCTCTGGTAAAAATACTTTTTGTACTTCATTTGATATGAGCAATTAGAAGCTCACTGAACAAAGTTATTACTATTGTTGTATCTTTCAGGTAATCTTGTGTGATGTTGACATATTCATGAGAAACAGCATGTTGAGGAGAGTTCTTAAGGCAGCTTGCTTAACTGAATCAAGCTGTTGTTCAGACAAAGACGGAAGCATAATAGAGCAGAAAGCACAGCCCTCACACAACTACTACACCAAAGGTGAAAAAAAAAACA